CACGCACGCACCACACACACGCACGCACACACACACACGCACGCATGCACACACACACGCACACACGCACGCACACACACGCGCACACACACACACACACACACAACCTGTTGCAGCCCTGGTCTGGCCCTGGTGGTGTCCAGATTCCTGGCGGCCCCTCTGAGCCCATTCCCCATTGGGGCTCAGGATCCCATGCGGAGTCCCTGGTGCTGTTCGCCTGGCTCAGGAAGGACACAGTAGAAGCAGGGAGTGAAGTGCCCAGCCTGCCCGACCTTTGCACAGGCCTCCTGCCCTGTGAAGAGCTCGCTTTCTCCCCAGCCCCACCCTTCATCTACTAGGCTCTGACATCAAGTCCTTTCACAGCCTCAAAAGCCTGTGTTCTTCCCTTCGTACCCACAAAGACCTCATATTCTTGTTCATCAAACTCTTGTCTCCTACCTGGGGCTGTTGCACCTGCTGCTTGTGCCTCTGCCAGGACAATGGGACAACCCAGACCCCAGATGGGATAGCAGCTCTTCCCTAGGAACTCCATTGCACATTACCTGGGCTCCTCTGATGCCCATCTGTTGCCCCCAGACTGTAGGCCTCAGGAGAGCAGGTCTCCAGTGTGACTTCAGCACAGGGCATAAAGCAAACACCTAATTAATGTTTGTCTCCTGAATCCATGACACAGGGATTTTATTAATTTTTTTGAGACAAAGTCTCAAGTGGCAAAAGCTAGCCTTGGACTTCTGCTGTCCTGCCCCATCACACCTTGTCTGATTTATTTTTTTGTTGTTGTTTGTTTTTGAGACAGGGTCTCCCTGTAGCCCCAGCTGGCCTGGAACTCACTTTGTAGAGCAGGCTGGCCTCGAACTCACAGAGATCCGCCTGCCTCTGTGCGGGGGGTGGGGTGGGGGATGTAAAGGCGTGTGCCACCACACCCGGTTTGACTTATTGAGTTTTGAGTTGGGTCTTTCTTGTGTGGCCCAGCCTGGCCTGAAACTCCTGGGCTCCAGCAATCATCCTGCTTTAGCCTCCCAAGGAGCTGAGGCCTGGGCATACAGGCCCAGGCCAGTGCAGCAGGAATGCATGTCTTCAGCCTCTGACCTTCCCAGGCCCTAGGCCCCCATCTCTCTTGGATTATAGGTTGTCAGCAAATGGCAGTCTCTGGCTGACACTTCCCTAGAGGAGGAGCAGACACAAGGGGAATTAGGCACCAGAGGGCACTACTGCAGGGGAATGTCCTCTTGGGAAGCCAGTGTCTCCAACCCTGTCTGTACCCCATCTCACCATGGACACCCTGTCCAGGTTATGAAATGCCGACACATCTCGGTTATAGCGCCTCACTGCTATGAGCACAGAACCAATGATCAAGACAGACACCAGCAGACACACACTGATCACCACACCAGGGTTCCTGTGCGATGTAGAGATCCACTCGCTGCCTAAAGCAGAAGGGTGGAGAATGGGGGATGGGAGGATAGGGAGATAGGGGTGGGAAGGGTGTCAGCCCAGACAGAATCACAGCTCCAGCCCCTTACCGGGAACCGTAGGCAGGGGCTCTACCAGTAAGCCAGGCACCCCCACAAGTACACAATTTCATGCGATTTTTTTTTTTTTTTCTTTTTGAGACAGGATCTCCCTGTAGCCCCAGCTAGCCTGGAACTACGTAGACCAGGCTGTCCTCGAACTCACAGAGATCCACCTATCTCTGCCTCCCGAGAGCTGGGATTAAAGGCGTGCGCCACCACACCCAGCGTGACTTTTTAAATTATTCATTTTCTAGTGTTTGTTTTTCCTTTTTGAGGTAGGGTCTAGCCATGTGACTCAAGTTGGTCTCAAACTTGAAGCAATCCTCTTGCCTTATTTAATGAACTGGCATCTGCCCACCCACTCCCTGGTCTGTGTCTCCCTCTGGTGGCCAATGTAAGAACTGCATCTATGTTCTAGGCACCCTCCCTGGATCCCTCTTAAAACTCACCCTGGCCAGGGCTGGAGACAGAGAGCCACTCCTGCGGGGTCATGGTTGTGGACTGGAGAGCCGTGGTCAGCTCGGAACTGGGGGAGCCAGAGCTGGAAACAAAGCCTGTCTCTGGTTGTTGAGGTGTGGAAACTAGATTTAGATCTGTAGAACTGGGGCTGGTGTTGGAAGTTGCCTCTGGAGTTGAGCGTTCGGAGCTGGAGAATGTGTCTGAAATTAGGGGGTCGGAGCTGTTGTTTGTCTCTCAAGCTGAGATCTCAGAGGTGGATGCACCACTTGGAAAGAAAAAGCCGGCGTGGACAGAGCCAGCGATCAGTGCTTTGGAGGACGGATGAGGTGCTCAGGATTCAACCACCCAGTGTGGGCTGAGATCTGAACCAGCACAGCCAAGCAAAAAAGGCTCTGAGCTCAGCTTTGCAGACATTCCAGCAACCTGGCCCGAGTCATGGGATCCACGCTACAACAATACCATCAGTGGCACTGACTCCGGGGACCTCCACAGTTAAGGGAAACTGAGTCATGGGTTGAAATCTGTTACTCGGTTTGGTTCCTCAGGAACAGGCGCACATAGAGTTTCTAGAGCCCCAACCTGGACTTGAATCCCAACCATGTGGATGGAATCTGGGGTCTCCCACATGCTGGCCACATCCTGTTCACCCAACAGCCACCTTCTCCAGGTGAGGCGTACAGAGCTGGGCACTGGGCTAGTCCAAGGCTATCTGACACTCCCTCCCTCCAGGCAGGTTTCCCCATGTACAGCCTGGGCATGGAGTCCAGAGGGTGAGGGAATAGTTCCTGGTTCACCTCACAGGACATCTCCCTGCCCCATTCCAGGTGTCTGAACTGTTGAGCAGGTCACAGGCTCACCCATCAGCTGCCCCACCTGTGTTCTTTCTGCCCTCCCTGCCCGGTGATCTTGGTGATCTCTCCATTTCCTCATAGCCTCACCCCAGATGGCAGATATGAGGAAATAACACATAGGTGCTGACCCTGGGAACAGGGAGGGGTGCTGGTCCCCCATCTCTCAGTCTCCTAGGCCCTTTGGGGACAGTGAAGAGTCTAGGAAAGCCACAAGTCCACACTGTGAGAAACTTCTGCTGAAGAGAAGACAACTCAGGGTCCATAGTGAACCCCAAGTCAAACCAGAACTTTGGGGCAATGAACATTTTAAGTGAACAAACCTATGAGTTTTGGAAAAGACATGGTGGTGGATCCCAGCCCTGGATAGTTAAGCAGGAAAACAGTAGGTATGTTTTTAGGCAGCATGTCTACTGTCTGACCTTCCCACAGACTCTGGGACGGGAGGCTGGGGTAAGCTTTCTAAGCGGCTCATCCAACAGCTGGATGGAGAAGGAATTATCTTGGGACTTTAAGAATGAAAACTCATCTACACTAAGCAGGCCAGCTAGCAACTGTGGTGGCCTTTGTGGTGATATAAAAAAATTGGGATGTAGCCTGGGCGGGGGGGGGGGGGGGGGGCAGAGAAAGCTCAGAGAGAAGTTCAAATCTCCCTAGGAACTGTTTCAGGAGAAGCAGAAAGGAATTAAGTCAGACAATAAGACCTTCTTATGGGAGCCACCGGTGGTGACTGACCAGAAAGTGAGTCCTGATCCCCACCTAGCCCTTCCAGTTGCACTGGGATTCTGGGGTCTTTATCATTTTCTGGTTGAGGAGCAACTGTGCCAGAAGTGCCTGGGGTGTCAGAGGAGTCACCAGCCTCTGTCCCAGCCCTGAGAAGTTATTACAGCCCCACTGTGCCTTGGAGGGAAGGGGAGAGAGGGGCCCCAGACCTGTGTCCCCCAGCCTGGCTGTCTTACCCGGCCACACCTCTCCCTTCCAGCAGCTAAGGCCTCCCCTCCCCACTCTTACCTGTGGATTTGGAGTCTGAGAAGTCCACATGTACAGGCATCAACAGCAGAGCCAGCAGCAGGAGGGGCCGCAACCTGGAGCCCGCCATTCCTGTGCCACTGTGTGCTGCAGGTGTCCAGGTGGCTGCACCTTGCAGGAGCAAGCGCCCCCTGCCAGCGGCGGAAGGAACTGAGCAGGGGACCAGATCCCACCCCATCTGGAACCCGAACCTTTTCTCAGCACCTGGCCTGGACCAAGCTCCCAAAGTTCTGAGGAGATGCTGTCTCTCCTGTCCCCCACCACCCTGGTACAATCCCTCCGTGGCTTCCCCAAACCTGGGCTGAATGCCCTTGTCTCTCTAGCGCCCAGGTTCCTCCCAGCCCTCTCCAGTCACCTGGGGATAGCTTTATCTCCCTCTCTCTTATCCAGGCTGGGATATCCTACCCAAAGGACCTAGAACCAAACCCCCAAGGATGCAACTAGAACCCTCTGACATTTCCAGGAGAAGGTACTCGTGTATATCTGAACTGAGGGAGTCAAGGTGGCTGCTCGAGGCTGGGTCTCCAGATACGTTTTTGTTGTTTATCTTCATTTTTGAGATTAGGGCTCACTGTGTAGCCTAGGCAGGTCTCAAACTCCTGGTGATTTTCCTGCTTCAGCCCCTAAGTGCTGGGGTGATAAGCGTGTGCCACCACACCTAGCCAAATGCAGGTTTTTATTTTATGACTTTGTTGTGCCATATGGGGCGGTCAGAGGACAACCTGTGGAAGTCCATTCTTTCGTCATGTGGGTCCTGGGTATCAAATACAAATCATCAGTCTTGGTGGCAAGCCCCTTTACCTGCTGAGCCATCTCACTGGCCCCAGATGGCTTTCTAGAAGTCACCTGGATATGACTGGACATTGGAAGTCCTGCCATCAACCATATGACACATGATTCCACACCGGCAGCCTGTGACCTCTGGGAAAGAATTAGGGTCCCCTCATCCTGTCCACAGATCCTGTGTGGGTTGGAAGCATTCAGACTCCTCCCCTCTGGCATGATCTAGAATTCCCCTTGTCCCCTCACACACCCATACATGCCCCCTTAACTCAGGACAGTGAACAGAATCAGGCTGTATCATGATTTATTCATGAGACCCACAGGGCCACATGGCTACCATGGTGTCTCCCTGCCCACAGCTAGAGGCCTAGACGCCGGGCCAGTGTATAGAGTATGCCCTTGAGGCACGGTGAGAGGTATCCCTGGAGATGTCCCACGGACCTCCTTGTCCCAAGAGTGCATCAGTAGTGAGGCAGCTACGGGTGTAATGTCCCCTCCATATGGCCTGGACCATCTTGGCCGCGGACTGCTGCTGTCTGAGCAGATGGCGGGTCCTGTAGCCCCTCCATGTGGCTTGGATGATGGTGGCTGCCCTTTGCTCCCAGGTGCTCCAGGGACCCTGCTGGGACACTGAGGCCCACTGTGGGCCAGACCGGCCTGAGATTCCTTGGCCGAAGCCTTGCACTACACGCGTGGACAGTGTGTGACCGCACACATGGCAGGTGCGTGGCTGGGACCCCACAAGCATCACTACTCTGAGGGGGGTCTCCACTCGGGGCCCCAGCGACTGGCAGACACTGCAGATGTCTGGCTGACAGGACAGGAAACTGCGGTGTTCTGAGCTCTTGTCAGCACCCTGGATAGCTCGGTGGTTCGATGCCCCAGTGGCCCTGCCACCTGACTCCTGCCACATAGTGGGCAGCAGCGCCTGACGGGCCTGGTCCCTACGGATGGAGTAGCCGCGCCAGGTAGCCTGGATGACTGTGGCAGCCCTCAGCAGTCGTACCAGGTTCCGTCGCACACGGTAGCCACGCCACGTGGCTTGGATGACAGAAGCCCGCTGATGCCAGACCTTTATGGTGCGCCGCACCAGGTAGCCACGTGTGCCTGCCTGGATGGTGACCGCGGCCTGCACGATAACCTTCTCCATGGCCCGCCCTGACACCAGCAGCTCCGCCGATGGCTTGTGGTCCAGTGCCTCCATTCGCTTGGGATCCCAAGGCCCCTGGCCCCTGGTGGGATGCCACATGCCTCGGGGTGCCTGGGTGCCCACCTTGGCTCTGACGGCCACGCTGGGGTCCACCGAGTTCCACGACTGGCCAGCAGCTGGGCAGGTGTCCACAGGACCCTGGGGTACAGTGGGGTTGGGGATATCTTGTTATAGCCAGTTTTAGGGTGCCTGATAAGATGGGTTCTCTGGCTGTGGGGTGCAGTGGTGACCTGAGAACCCCTATCAAAGATAGTTTTAGGGCTCCTGACAAGTTGGAGTTTTTGGATGCAGGGTGCCTTGGGGAACCATGTGCCCCCATCATAGCGGGCTTCAGGATCCATGATGTATTGAATGTTCTGGCTGTTGGGGACAGTGGGGACTGGGGAGCCCTGGCCATGGCCAACTCTGGGGACTGGGACAACATGGGGGCTCTGGCCCTGGGGTGTGATCACAGTCAGTGCTGTCTTCTGGTGGCCAGCATGGCTGCTGTGATGGGTGCCTTCATTGAGAAGGGGCCTCTGTGAGCCCTTTGGTGACGGGTCACAGACCAAAGACACCCTGCGACCTCCCGAGGATCCCTTCTGTGCTCTTTTGTCCCCCATGTGGATGATGGGTGTGATGCCTGTCATGGCTGTCCCTGAAGACTGCTTGTGACTGACTGGTGGAACTTGAGATATCAGTTTCTGTGTGGGGCTGGAGGGCAGCGGTCTGATCAGGGAACCTCCTAGACGTTCCGAGACAAGGTTACTGTGAATGGCCTGCTAAGGTTTTTTTAGGGGTGAGGGTTCATGGTAGCTACTCTGGGTTGGATTCTCGGGTGCTTCCATCTGGGAGACACTGGAAGCTGTACTTTGAGTTTGGGACTTTGATCCAGCAACCCCTGTGTTTGGGGGAACATTGAGGGTCCTCACCCTGGCAACAGACCCTGGATGCAGCTCAGCTGTCTTGGGACTGCTGAGAGTCAGCTGTGGTACTGCTGAGGGTATGTTAGAAGCTGCCATCCCTGGGGAATGGTTTTGGGGCTCAGCATGAGTCATGGGCTCAGGGTGATGCTTAGTGACCCCAGGACCTAGAGGCTGATTTGTACTGCCCTGCAGGCCTGGGATCCCATTAGCAGGGTGGAGGTTAGGGGGACCCCTTGCTAAGGATAAGGACTGAATAGGGGCAATGCCATTGGTCAGGAAGTGCTTGTCAAAGTTTGGGGCTTGCACAGGGACAGGGGTGGCACCACTGGCTTAGCTGGGAGCCTCCTCCGTGAATAGGGGTGTTTGGTCTCTGGGAACATTTTTGGCCACTAGGGGCTCATGTTCCTGACTGTCACTTCCCACCGGACCCAAGTCCTCTAGGACCTCAGATCTGACAGACCCTAGTCTAGACCCCCCCCACAGTGTCAGCCACTTGTCCCAACTTTGGTGAGGTCTGGCTATTAACACTCCCAAAGTTGGTTATCCCTGGGTCCTGGCTCAATAGCCGAGGTCTTGACAGAAATAGAGGTACCTTGTGTGCACCCTGGGCCCCTCTGAGAGCTTCCGGGGCTGGCGGGTGACAATTAGCCAGGCTGGTGGCATGGGGTGCCAGGGACAGGAACCAGGAATCTTCCCCAGCCTGTGCCCTATGGTAGGGATGAGGGCTGATTCCTACCAGCATGGACCCCGGGGCCACACCACCCACCCCAGAAGCCGAAGGGGTATTCAGTCCCCTCCCGACAGCCACAGAACCCAGGAGTGACCTGCGGTGGGGGACCTTGGCAAGGGCTCTACAGCTGAGCTCTGTGTCTCCCTACCACCCACATTCATGTTTGCATAGCTGGGGGTCACATCCATGGTCACAAAGTCCCGATGGGGGGTAGGAGCTACATCTATAACTACTGACCCTGAAGCAAGGCTCTGGGTCCCACTGCCCCCCCGCATGGACCCTAGGCAAGGGCGGCTCTTGCCCACTCCCCTGATCACAGATCCTTGAGGCAGATTCAAAGTCATGGTCTCAAGCACAGGTTTGTGGGTGACCACTAAGGGCCCCTTTCCACATGTAGAATCCTGAGCAAAACTCTGAGCCACGGTGCCCATTGTTATGTCCAGAAGGGCCATACCTGTGTGTTGGCAACTGGGTAGGCCCATGGTGGCTATAGAGAGGAGCTGGAGGTCTAATGCCATGGAAAGAGGAGCACAGGCCTGAGAGTTGCTGGGGCCCAGCTGGCTTGGGAAAAACTCAAATGGAACTGGTGCACTTGACACTGCGGCCAGGCATAGCCTCTGGCCCTCATCTGTGGCCATGGTAGTCTGTTCCTGAGCCCAAGGGACATCTGTCTGAAAGGCCCGAGTTGCCATGGGGACCAGGGTGGCACACATTTGGGGACAGTCCCCCAGCCACAGGCACCTGGGACTTGTCTGTGTTTGTGCCCTTGAAACAAGGCAGACACGGAACACTGGCTCCTACAGTCAGGCCACTGTCCTCGGGAGGGCCCTGGAAGCCTGGTAGAAGCCAGGCATGGATGGAGCCATGGGACTCGGGGACCCCTTGCTGGCCTGGGTCTGCTCAGGATGGAAAGTGGGATCTGAGGTATTTGACTTGATCCTAGTCCCTATCAGGGGGTTATCACCTGAACTCACCTGATCTCCAAGGGGTGGCAGGCCTAACCTACTGGTCACACATGGATACGACCCAGTTGGGCTGGCAGAGGGCTGACCCTGAGCTGTGCCACTGTTCCCCCGACCGACCCCATACACCACAGTTGGCAGCAATAGGCTCAGGGCTTCCAGGGTGGCCATGGACGGCTGGGAGAGATTAGAGCATGTTCCGGGGCCCAGAAATGGGGGGCTTAGTCTGGGGGGTATCCTGTTGGACAGAGGCACCTGGATGAGGCCAGGAACTATGCTGCTAGCCACAGATGGCTGACAGGGACTTGGGGATGCCCTGGGGACTGCAGATGCATGGGTCAGGCTAGGGGACAGAACACTAACCACAAAAGGTTGGGCTAGACTTGGGGACACCCCATGGGGCACAGGTAGCTGGACAAAGCCTGGACTTACAGCTGTGGGGATATATGGCTGAGCAAGATTTGAGTGTATACCATAAGACATAACTGGTTGGAAAAAGTTGGGGGATACCCCAGTGGCCATAGAGGATCGGGCCAGGCTTGGGGACATCCCAGTGTTCACAGATAGATAGGCCAGGCTTGGAGACACCCCAGTGTCTGAAGATTTCAGAGTCAAACTTTGGGACACGCCATTGTCTGTGCATGGCTGGGCCAGGCTTGGGGACACAGCACTGAACCCAACAGGCTGAGGTGAGCTTAAACTCAAACCTGTGGCCTCTAATGTTTGGCTTAGGGGTGGGGATACCTCAATGGCCTCGGGTGACTGGCCAGGGCTGGGGGCTCCCCTGTTGGCAAATATGAGCTGGGGTATGGTGTGATCTGACGGAGTGACTCCCTTGGGCTGTAGGTCTGCAACAGGGACTAGGTTGTCCACTGATAGACTCCCCTATACCTGGATGGGGTTTTGTCCTGGGACAGCCCATTGGCCTGGTCCCCAGAGCTGTAGTGAGAGCTGCTATCTGAGTCCCAGTGGAGACTCAGGGCCAGGCTGGTGCTATGGAGCAGGAGGGACTTGAGTTCCAGGGGTGGTGGGAACTGAGAGACCACATGCCCAAGGTCAGCTGGGTCTGTCCTTTCCAGCTGTCCCTGGGGTCTGTCTCTTGCCTCCCTGAATATCCGTGACCCTGGCTGCTGGTCTTCCTGCAAACTGGCCTCCGTGGAACCTTCTAGAATTTCTGAAGGTGTCAAGCTGGGTGGTGGGGAGGGGCTGGGAGAGGTACTGCTTTGAAAAGAACTCTGAGAGTCACTGCCACTCTGGCAGGGGGCTGCAGAGCCCCTCCGGAAACTCCTGGCCAGTGTGCTCTGGGGGTACTGTGGGAGGGCGGCCAGCAACTCCTCCAGGATGGACGTATGGCGGTGGTTGGCTGGACCCCGGGAATGGGACAGAGTTTTGACGGTTGCCTTGGGGTGCCTTTCCTGTCTGGGGATGGATGCCCTAGGAAGGCCTTGTGCCAACCTAGCATTTCAGGACATTCGTGATGACTGGCCACTTGGCTGTCTTTCTGTTACATTCCTCACCGTGGTAAACATTACTCTATTGCCCAGTGAGGTCCATCTGTGGCTGGATGGCAGGACCTGCCTTACAGTCTCCTCTACAGTCTCCTCGGTGGCCATGGGTGATCGGTGGGGACCTCTCAACACAGAGGGACAGCCACAGAGGGACAGCCTGTGCACCCTTGGGTTTGGACACTGACACATACTGCCTTGGAAAGAGGAGGATGACACCAGAGGGGCCCTGGGGACCTCCTTCCACCCATGCTGCCAGGAGACTTCCCCGACACTGTGCTGCCGTCTTGGTACGACACCCATGGGCAGGACGCCCTGCTGGCCACAGGTGGCTGGTGTGAGATCGGAGACCTGCCACTGGTCACCAATGGCCGGCTGGTGCTTGGGCCTACACCATTGGTGACAAGTGGCTGCCACGGGCCAGGGGGCGACGGCTGGGGAGGTCACTTGGGGACACAGGGACCCTTACAAAATACCATGGGGTGAAGACCCATTGGCCTCAGATACATGTGGGAACAGAGGGCTCCCACCTCCTGAGCCAGCGTAGACTCCAGGACTGCACCCAGGGGACAGAAGTGAGTGCCGGAGACCATCCCTTCAAACAGGAAGGCACCCAGGTGGGACTGTGGCAAGCAGGGTGGCCCTTCCAACCTGACTCCATCCCCCTCCCCCATCGAGATTGTGCCAGGCAGTTCCCAGGGGAGACCCTTCCGTGGTGGCCTGACCTTGCTACACTGAGGTTGGACAGGACCCAGTGTGGGTCCCCACGCCACTGACAGGCTCCCGCTGCAGGTCACCTCCACCGGGGCAGGCGCAGTCATCCGGCTCCCTGCTGTTTTCGAGGTGGCCTTGAGCGGGAAGGCACCCGTCCTCTGGGCCATCTGCTCCAGGGATTGAGTGAAGACAGCACCCAGCTCACCCTGGCACAGGGCCTGGCTGAGTGTGGCCCTCTCATCATCCGTCAGGGCTTTGCAGAGTACCTCGGCCAGCTCGCCTTGTGTGGCTTTGCTAAGTTCTGGATGCAGCTCGCCACGGGACAGGGCCTGGGACAAGGTGACACCCAGTTCACCCCACAACAGGGCTTTCATCAATGCCATTCCCAGCATGCCTTGAGGCAGGGCCTTGACCACAGAGGCCCCCAGGACCTCCTGGGACAGGGCCTGGCTCAGCACCGGCCTAACTTCCACCTGGGAAAGTGTCTTGGCTAGTAGTGCACACAGGTCCTCGGGGGAGCCCAATGTGGCCACCAGCTCAGCACACAGGGATGCGATGGATGCTGCCAGGTCGTGGCAGGACACGGCCTGGCTGGGCACAGGTGGTGGTGGTGGGGTCCGTGCCCGGCCGCTGTCACCCCAGGGGTCTGTGGAGCACACAGAGTGTCCAGTTGGGGTCAGCAGAGGCAGCAGCATGCCTTGGGTATCTGTGGCCACTGAGCGAGAGTTCTGCGTGGCCTTGTTTTGCATGTGGCCATGGGCCTGGGTCCTGCCCCTGTCATCTGACTTCGTGTGGGGTCCAGTGCTGAGCGTCCCAAAATGTTGCCAGAATTGGACAGAGGCCTTGGATGCACTCAGGAGTGGCTGTGACTGGGTCTTCCCAGCAAGGTTGGAGGCTGAGTGGGTGGCCAGAGGACACTTGGCTGTTTCAGTGGCCGGCTGAGCCTGTGACTGGCCCTTTGTCAGTCCTATGGGCAGATGGGCCTGCGGAGCCTTGGCCAGACCTGTGATAAGCTGGGCCGGGGATGGGGCCTTGCTGAGCTTGGCGGGTGGGCAGACATGACATGTGGTCTTTGTGGTCTTTGTGTTTGCAGTCTTTACATGCTCAGTGGGTGGACGTGACTGGGGCGAGACTTTCGTTAGGCGAGTGGCCATCTGGGATGCAGTGGTTGGCAGACACATGTTCAGATGTCCTTCAGGCAGGACCATGGGAGGATGTGCCACGGATGGACACATTGATGGATGGGTTTGAGACAGAGTTCTGGCCTGTTCACCAGCAGGATGGGGTTGGGCTGAGTGTGTCATCAGGTGTACAGCCAGTGGCAATGAGGGCTGGGTGGTAGAGGGACACATGGCTAGATGTCGTCCCTCGGGTGGGACCATGGTCAACACAGATGTGGGGCATGGCTGGGGTGGTGCTTGGGTGAGGTGTGTGGCCAGCTGGAGCTGGGGCTGAGGGGTGGCTGGCTGATCTTGGGAGGAGGCTTTGGTGAGGGGGACGGCCAGCTGAGCCTGAGACAGGGTCACGGTCATCTCGACAGGCATGTACACTTTGGCGTGGACCTTAACTACTTCTGCCTTCTGCTGGACCTGGGCCAGGGACTTAGTCCTGTCCTCTGTGACTTTTGTCCAAGACAGTGCCCTGGTTACAGCAGTCCTGTTAGTCTTTGGAGCCACGTCCCTTTTGAGGGGTCTTGGAGGTCCAGGCTTTGTCTTCTCTGCTTCCAAAGGAGTTTTCACTGGATGCTTAGGAGCCACAGTGTCTAGATGTCTGTGGAGACTACACTTGCCTTTCCCATTGGCCATGTACAACTGGGAGGCAGCCCTGATGACCATGGTGGTCTGCTTGGTGCTCATTGTGGCCTTGGCCTTTGGGCTGCTCAGGTGGTCCTGGAACGTGGCATTGGGAATGCCAGTGGCCATGGGAGGTTGGGGTGGGACTTTGGGACTTTTAGCTGCTGCCGTGGGGACCAGACACAGGGTCCTGAGCACAGCAGCCACTGAGCGTATCTGGGCCGGGGTCTTAGTTATCATGGCTACCAGGCGAGTCTGGGGTGAGGGCTTGGTAATCGGGGCGGATTGTGAAGATGTCTTGGACATGTCAGGACATGTCTGAGGGTGGCTTCTGGTCATAGCAGTTACTGGATGTGTCTGGGGTGAGGTCTTCACCATCACAAGCCCAGGACCAGTCTGCATTGGGCTCCTGGTGACAGGGACCCCAGGGCGTGGGGGGCTTTTGACTGCCGGGGTCACAACATAACCCTGGGGTGGTGTCCTGGTGGCAGGGACAGTAGAACAGACCTGTGGTATGGTGTTGGAGAGCGAAGGGTTCAGTCGTATGTGAGCTGGGGGCTTGGTCATCGGGGAAACTGGGCAGGTCAGCGATTGCATCTTTGTGACCGTCACCAGGGGGGTGGGACATGTCTGGGGTGCAACCTTCGGTGCTGTGTATGTTGTGGCTGGTGACTTGGGGGTTGAAACTATTGGATATGTCTTGATAGGGGTCTTGGTGACTGGGTGTGGATGAGGCAAGGCCTTGGGGGCATCTGCTTCAGTGTGAACCTGGGTCTGGGTCTTCATGGGTCCGGGGACAGCTTGGCCAGATCTCACTGATGCTACTTGCTCCTGGATCCCTGCTTTGGTGGACCTGGAACCCTTTGTCGTGTCCCCCTCCAGCTGTCTGATGAGACAGGAGCTCCTCACAGTCTTAGTCAGCATGCAGTGCTGGTGTTTGGGACCTAGACTCATGGGACCTGAGAGTCTGCCGGTCACAGCCTGCTGGGGTGCCAGGCCACCCCTGGCGGCTCCACCAATACAGGGACCAGGGGCTGCCTTAGACTGCAACTTCGACGAAGCTAGGTTATTGGAAGATGGGAGCTGAGTCTCCTTGTTCACCACGGCGGGCAGCAGGTCCTCGGGCGCATGGAAGCGCACCTGCTGCGGGGGATGGTAGGGAATGTCTCCTTCATCCTCCTTCACTTTTTTCCTCACTGTTGGCCTGTTGGACCGCACAAGCCTGCGTGTGCTGAAGCGCCGCCAGGCCTCCTGGATGCCCTTGGCTGCCATCATCTGTGAGATAAGCTTCTGCCGCAGCCGGTAGCCCTTCCAGTTGGCCTGGATGACTGTGGCTGCTCGTGACACCATCATGTCCATCTCATCCACCAAGATGTTCTTGAAGGCCTGGCTCTCCACCACAGCCCATAGGCGGGGGACTGGCTGCAATGGCGGCACAGGCTCCTTTGGCAGGCAGGAATCATGCTGGGGCGGGGAACATGGCATGGCCACTTTCTCTTGGTGAATAGGGGCAGGCTGAGGATGGGAGAGGCATGGTCCACTTGGTGATGAAGGGTGCTGCAACTGAAGCTGTGTTGCTGGCTGCATACTGCTGCTCCTGAGCAGGGTGACACCTGGATAGATGGAGGGCCAGGTGGTAGGATTGAGACTGGGGGATTGGAAGGCTGGAGTGAGTGAATGGGTGGATGGCTGGATGGCTGGGTGGGTGGATGGCTGGGTGGATGGATGGGTGGATGGGTAAATGGATGGATGGATGGATAGATGGGTGAATGGGTGAATGGGTGGATAGGTGGATGGATGTGTGGATAGATGGATGGATGGATGGATGGATGGGTGAATGGGTGGATGGGTGAATGGATGGGTGGATGGATGGATGGATGGATGGGTGGATGGGTGGATGGGTGGATGGGTGGATGAATGGGTGGATGCGTGAATGGATGGGTGGATGGATGGATGGATGGATGGATGGATGGATGGATGGGTGGATGGGTGGATGAATGGGTGGATGGGTGAATGGATGGGTGGGTGGATGGGTGGATAAGTGGATGGGTGGATGGGTGAATAGGTGGATACGTGGATGGGTGGATGGATGGGTGGGTGGATGGGTGGATGGATGGGTGGGTGGATGGATGGATAGATGGGTGGATGGGTGGATGGATGGGTGGATGGATGGATGGATAGATGGGTGGGTGGATGGGTGGATAGGTGGATGGATGGGTGGATGGGTGGATAGGTGGATGGATGGGTGGGTGGATGGATCGATGGTTGGATGGGTGGGTGAATGAATGGTTAGGTGGATGGATGAATGGATGGACAGAGGGATCAATGAGTGGACAAATGGTCAGGTGGGTGAGTGAATGAATCAACAGATAAATAGATGGGCTTATGGATGAATGGATGGGTGGATGAGTGGATGGCTGGAGGAATGGATAAATAGATGAGTGGGTTGGTGCGTTGGTGGGTAGATGGATGAATAGCATGATAGCTGGATAGATGGACAGATGGATGGGTGGTGGATGGATGAATGTCACAGATGGGTGTGTGTGGGATGGATGGATGGATGGCACAGATGGGTGGGTTGTGGATGGATAGCTCAAGGTCAGTTGGAATAGTGAACAAAAGGGAAATGAAGAGTCATCTATGGTTTTCAACAGGACTGTAGGCACAGAGAGTTGGGATACTGAGTAACCCTGGTGTACCTAACCTGGGGCATAATACCCATGTGTGGCAGAAGCTCAAGCTGTTTTGCAGCCATGTTCTTACCTTGGAGGGTCATAGAGTCAGAGGAGTTTCTAGAACTCAGTGAGGTCTCAGAAGCCAGCCTGGAGGAGGAGGCCGTCTTCAGTTCTTCATCCAAGAATCGTGCAGCACCGCTCTGGGCTGGTTCTGTCCTCAAGACCAATACAGGAAGGAATGCTGGGGTTAGATTGTTGTTTAGAAGCTAATGAACAGGAGTGCTGAGCCACAGAGGTGTTCCTGTAGCATCCTGCCCAGGAGAAATAAAATCTGGGGCTGGCAAGTGACTTAGCAGGTACAGGTGCTTGTTGCCAAGAGTGACAAGCTGAGTTCAATCCCTGGGACCCACATGGTGGAAGGAGAGAACTGACTCCTGTAAGTTGACATGGGTACTTGTATACCACATACACAATTAATTAATTAATTAAAAATTAGATCAGGCCTGGCATGGTAGTGCACACCTTTAATCCCAGCACTTAGGAGGAAGAGGCAGGAGGATCTCTCAGTTCAAGGCTATCCTGGTCTACAGAGTAAGATCGTGTCATTCATAGGTAGGTAGGTAGGTAGATAGATAGATAGATAGATAGATAGATAGATAGATAGACAGATAGATACACATGATGGCTAGATTTAAATATATATATATACATAGATATATTGATACATAGATAATAGACACATAGGTGATGGACAAACAATCCTAGCCTTAGTTTGAATGCAAAATACGCACTTTAAGTACAAAGGCCTGAATGTATTGAGAGTAATTAAGGAGAGAAAAAGATACCAAAGAACTCAGAGTGCTAAACCCACATCCCCGTGTTCCTGTCTCACGCAGTTGCTTTAAAAACAGAGAAGACTCATCTAAGCCCTTTATGGACATGTCCCTAGAGGAGTAAGTTGATCAGAAGACAAAGCAACCGTAAATACATATGCATCTAATAACACAGCCTCGTGCACATGCACACAGCAGAAACTGGAGGTATTAAAGAAAGAAATAGGGGCCAGGCGTGGGGGCGCACGCCTTTAATCCCAGCACTCGGGAGGCAGAGGCAGGTGGATCTCTGTGAGTTCAAGGCCAGCCTGGTCTACATAGTGAGTTCCAGGACAGCTGGGGCTACAGGGAGACCCTGTCTCAAAAAGATTAAAAAAAAATAGAAATAGGGGGCTGGAGAGATGGCTCAGTTGTTAAGACCACTGGCTGCTCTTGCAGAGGGTGTGGGTTGTTCCCAGCACCCACATGGTGGCCAACAACTATCCCATAACTCAAATTCCAGGGGATCCCATGCCTGGGATCCCATTCTGGCCTCCACAGGCATTGCATGCACATGGTACACCTACATCCATGCAAACAAAACACTCATACATATAAGATAAAAACAAAAAGTCTTTAAGTAAGACATAAGTTAATTCACAATCATAATTGTAGGGTTTTATTTTTTCTTTCTTTCTTTCTCTCTTCCTTTTATTTTTCTTTATTGACCTATTTGAAACAGGGTCTTCCTGCAGCCCCAGCTGTCCTGGAACTCACTATGTAGACCAGGCTGGCCTTGAACTCACAGAGATCCCCCTGCCTCTGCCTCCCGAGTGCTGGGACTATGGGTATGCGCCATCACACCCGGCTTATTTTTTAATTTTTATTTATGTATTCTTTATGTGTATGAGTATTTTGCCTGCGTGGATATAAGTGCACCCCTGTTGTGCAATACCACTTAGGTCAGAAGAGGGCGTTGGATTACCTGGAACTAGGGTTACAGGGGGTTGTTAGCTGCCATGTGGGTGCTGGGAACTGAACCCAAGTCCTGTGCAACAGTAGCCAGTGCTCTTAACCTCTGAGCGATCTCTCCAGCCCTATGGGGGTTTTAACTTTTAAAGATTGGGGGTGCTCCTTTTTTTGAGAAAGGGTCTCCTTGTAGCCCTAGCTGGCCTGGAACTTGCTATGTAGACCAGCCTGGCCTTGAACTCAGAGATCTGCCTGCCTCTGCCTCCCAAGTGCTGGGATTAAAGGTGTGCACCACCAACTCCTGCTAAATTTTTTAAAGATTTATTTACTTGTGCATCCACTGATTTCTTCTTTCCTTGAACATGGGGCTCAAGTCTCAGGTAGGCTGAAATCCAGCATATCCTAGCAATCTTCCTGCCTCTGCCCCTGAGGGCTACAGGCATGTGTGGAGTGTCAGCTTGTTGCATGGTCCTGGGAGCTGAACTCTGATCTTCATGATTGTACTGAGCTATCTCTCCCTCACCCTCACTTTTTTTATAATTTCATTTTTTAAAGGTTTTTATTTTTATTCATATGTATGTGTATATTTCTGTGTGTTAGTATATGCCTTGTGTGAGTGCAGGTGCCCACAAAGGCCAGCAGAGGGTATTGGATCCCTTGGTGCTAGAGTTAGAGACTACTGATGCCAGACATGTACACTAGCCACTTGTAGTTCCAGAACTTGGAAGGCAGAGCCAGGGGATTTCTGGAGCAAGCTGATAGCCAGACTGACCCTATTAGTGAGCTCCAGGTTTGATTCAATTGAGACAGCCTATGTCCACAAATAGAATGGGGCCACAGAGGAAGACCCCTGACATAAGGCTTGGGTCACCACATGCAGCACACACATTCCAACATGTACACCCATACTCAAGACACAAACACATGCAAAACAACCCACAAGAAAACCAAGGCACTGGGCATGGTGGCACAAGCCTTTAATCCCAGCACTTGGGAGGCAGAGGCAGGCAGACCTCTGTGAGGTTGAGGCCTCCCTGGCCTACATAGTGAGTTCCAGGCCAGTTGGGGCTACAGGAAGACCCTGTCTCAAAAAAAAAAAAAAAAAGACAAAAGGAACCCCCCCCAAAGATAGGGGGCTCCTGGGAACACCACCTGAGGGTGCCCTCTGGAATCCACAAGCACTGCATATGCCAACTCACACATATACGCACACACCACCATAGCCAAACATGGTGGCATCTCAGACGCATCAACCATTGAGACATAGTTTGTACTTCCTTATGGAGATACCAAGTCAGACAAGCAGGGTTACCGGTCCGACTTGTCCGAGGTCACAAGAGTACACAGCCAAACAGCACCTGGCTCACTGAGTCTCTGATTCTACTTTATGTGGTCAGCCTTCAGGACGAGTCCCAGGGCCCCCCAGGACCCTAGCTTCAACACTGAACCAGAGCAGGATCAGAGGCTGAGCCCCCATACTCCAATCCGCTGTCCAACCCAAACTGTCTGCATCTTCCTAGGTCTCAGAACCTCATCTATGCGGGTACCCTGAGACAACCCCCCAGCATGCTGGGACGGGCTGAGTGATGCAGTCACAATAAGTGATTGTCACCATAACAGCTGACATTCATGTCACAACCACACAGGCAAAGTGGGGCTCAGACACCAGAAACTGAGTCAGCTGGGTCTAGGGCAACAGAAACTGTTACAGGGACCAGGGACAGAGGAAAGCTGCTAGAGCACTTGCCTAGGGTGTATGAGACCCTGGTTCCCTCCCTCACAGCACATAAAATCAGTCTCCATGCAAATGCCTGGGGAGGCTGAGGCAGGAGGATTGCCATGAGTTCCAAGAGTGTGGTGATACATGCCTATCATCCCAGCACTGGGGAGATGGAGACAGGAGGATCAGGAGTTCAACATCATCCTGGGCTACAGAGTGAGTTCAAGGCTAGCCCTAGGCTACATGTGATGACTCTGTATAAAAAAAAAAAAAAAAACTGTGATAGAATAGCTAGGAGGAGAGAGAAGAGAAAGTGGGGTCATGGGGGCAGAAGAGGGAATGGGGTGAAGGGGCGACAGACAGAGCCAGGGACGCTGATTCAGCCACATCAAGTCCATCTCCCTCAACCTCAGTCTCCCCACCCATCTCTGAAAAATAGACAACTTCCCTGAGTGATGGAGGAGAAATGACAGCTCGCCAGGTTTGGCTCCTAGTGGGACGTAAGTACCATTGAGGTCCAGGGACCCTGAAAACCATCCCCAAGGGCTGAGGGGCTGAGCTGCCACCCACAGCAGCCTGAAGGACCCAGAAGGTCTTGGCAAGAGCAAGGGACAGGACAGTGACACCTCTGTGACGCCACTCACCTGTCCCCAGAGCTGAGCCCACCAGCCCAGGTTGATGGCCAGCCTTGGGGCCCCAGTATTAGGGTCTTTATGACTTGAAGCTGGGTTCCAGCCAATCCCCATCGTTGTGTCAGGGGGCAGGGTTCTAAAAGGCAGAACTGGGGCTGCAAGCAGGATGGAAGGTTCTGAGCTAAATGGTTACCACCTAGTCAGAAATAGGGCTCTGAGTCGGGCGTGGTGGCACAGCCTTTAATTCCAGCACTGAGGATACAGAAGCAAGTGGATCTCTGTGGGTTCAAGGCCAGCCTGGGTTACACAGCAAGTTCCAGGCCAGGAGGGGCTATAGAGAGACCTGTCTCAAAAGAAAAAAAAGTTCTGACCCCCAAATCTCCCTGTTTTGTCTGGAGATCTCACACTTGGGTGTCTGCTATCACACAGGATGTCCTGCAAATGTCCCCTGGGCATGAAAAGACAGGAGTCAAGACCTGATGGCTGTCATCCCAGCACTCAGGAGGCTGGTGAATTTCAGGTCTGCCTGAGCTACATAGGGAAATGCTTTGTAGAAAAAAAAAAAAAAAAAAAAAGTGAGCACAGATTGTGAACTGTGGCCCTGTATGGGTGGAGATGCAGAGTGCAGCCAATGTTCTGGGTCACCTCCCCAGGCTGGGCCAATGTCCAGCATGAGTCACAGCTACCCAGGCCAAAGCTGACACACACCCTGGCCTGTACAGGGTGGGCTCCAACCAGCTACCTCCCTGGGGATCCTGCAGGGGCAACAGGCCTCCCAGCAAGGGGCACTCCCACACCCTGGGACACCTTCCTGCCCCTTAGCTCCTGAGAAGTGCTTCAGTGAGCCTGCTGTCTCTGTGGGCATATAGGGATTGGTGCACTTGGGACGCCAAGATGCAGTTGAGACCGCGAAGATTTTTTCTTTTTTGGCAGTGCCAGGGAATGGAACAGAGGCCTGGCAGATGAGGCAGGAGCCACCACTGAGCAGCGTCCTCAGCACTGGGTGTTTGAAACAGTCCCCCCACGTAGCTCAGGCTGGCCTGGAACTCAGGATCCTCCTGCCTCAGCCTCGCTGGGACTGAGTACCAGGTCTGGCTCAGATCAGTTGATGTGAAAACACATTCCCAACAATAACAAAAGCTTTATTAGGCCAAGGCTGTTGATCCTGGCAGAAGCAAAAGCAAGAGGATCCCTGTGAGTCTGAGGCCAGCCTGGTCTACATGAGTTGCAGGTCCGTCAGGGCTGCACAGTGATAAACCACCTTTAAAAGACCCACAGATGCCGGGCATGGTGACGCACGCCTGTAGTCCCAGCACTTGGGAGGCAGAGTCAAGCGGATCTCTGAGTTTGAGGCCAGCTTGGCCTATACATAGTGAGTTCCAAGTCAGCTTGGGTTACCGGAAGACCCTGTCTCAAAAAAAAAGACAAAAAAAAAAAAAAAAAAAAAAAAAAAAAAAAAAAAAGCCCACAGACTCCATCTAGCACTGCAAAAATGGGGAAAGCAGAGCATAGTGGTCCACATCTGACATCCCAGCACTCAGGAGGCCACAGTAGAGGTCTGGGCTCCAATTCCTGCTGTGCTATTCACCAGGTGTAGGGTAGGTCCCCAAGCCTCCCAGCGCCTCCCCTTTTCTGCTGACATTAGTGATTCCAACAGGGATGGGAAAGAATCTACCTAGACTAGAACACTTGCATTTCACAGCACACAAGGTAGAGACCAGCAAGGGAAAGGACGTGCCTGTCAGAGCTGTGCCAGGGCACCCAGGTAGGGACTTGGGCTCTCAATTGGCAGTGCTTGTGGCTTAACTGATAGTGCCTATGGCTCAGTTGGCAGAGTACTTGTGGCTCAGGTAATAGAATACTTGCCTAGCATGCACAAAGCTCTGGGTTCAATCCCCAATTCTGCGTAAACAGGGCCTGTCATCTCAGCATGCAAGAGGTGGGACCCTTTCTCAGGCTGGGACCCCATCTGGAAACCTCTGCTTGGCCTAGTTAATGCACAGGTCACACAGTTAAACACCAAACCCACAAATTTCCTTTTTTGTGGGTATTGTTTAATATTTTAAAAATATTTTTAATTCTTTTTTCGGAGCTAGGCAAGCGCTCTACCACTTAGCTAAATCCCCAACCCCAATATTATGTCTGAGTGTATTGCCTGCACGTATGTAAGTGCACCAATGTTGTATAATGCCCACGGAGGTCAGAAGTGGGTGTTGGATCCCGTGGAACTGGAGTTAGAGTTGTCAGAGGCCATGTGGGTGCTGGAACTCAAACCCAGGTCTTCTGCAAGAGCAGTCAGTACTCTTAACCACTGAGCCATTTCTCCACCCCATCCTGCCAAGTCTTTAATAAAAAGGAATGGAGCCATCTCTCCAGCCCTGGTTTTTGGTTTTGAGTTTTTTGAGAAAAGTTATCATTCTGTGGCCCAGGCTGGCCAGGGGTTGGAGAACCTCCTGTCACAGCCTCCCAAAACAAACTTGTACCATCACACCTGACTCACAAAAAAGTTCTGTACAAGGTGGATAAGCAGAGTGGGAAGAGAGGATGAGGAAGTGGAGAGGAACCCACTCTTTGCATGGCCAAGGGACTGGGGTCACACTGTGGCCTGTCCTTGTGCTGGGTTCAGGTGTCAAACAGGCAGTTTCCAGGGCTGTTTGGGGACATATGACCCCAGGAGAGTGAGACTCCCAAGATCCTTAAGGGTCGGTCTTAAGTGTGTGGCTGAGGTCCAGACTTCAGAGGTGTGGGGCCAAGGGTCACAAGGGTCCAACGGCCCCGTTGTAAATAGAAATGAGCCCCTGCCCTGAGAAAATGCTGTGGAACCTCAAGTCAAGTGCTCAACCTCTCTTTACGTTGTCTCCTTAAAATGGGGACAGATGTGTGTCTGGAGAGATTTAAGTGCAGGGAGCCACCCCTGATCCTGGGGAGAACTTGCTCTACAACTCCCAAGCAACAAAGGCTGAATAAAAGCTTCCATGGAGCATCAACTAGGAACCCAGGAGGATTCTCTCAAGAACCTTCTTACAAACCCTGGGCGCACCATTTGAAGGGGGTTACGGAACCGAGGCACCCAAAGAGGTTCCCTAGGCTGGGCTCCCTCTCCCTTTCCACTTTGTCATCCCTCCTTCCGAAAACACAAGGGAGACAGCAGCTCAGTAGCCAAGGCTGGCCCAAGAGCCGGCTCCACCTGGACTGCAGAAGATGGTGCGCGCCTAGATGGCGCTCGCTGTGCGCCAGATGTGCAGGTCCCGCCCGCGCCGCGCTCCCGCCCCGGGAGAGAAGAGAGGGAAGGAGGGGGAAGGGAGCCGGCCGGGCCCCGCCCTCCCCACGGCGCCACAGGGGGAAGAAGGAGGCGGACAGCCGAGCTGGCATAATGAAGACTTTACTGAAAACACAAAACCGGGCGGACCAACGATTACGGAACAGGAATGTCGACTCGTAGCAAAACAAAACAAAAAGAAAAACAAAACAACAAAAAGAGAGGGTGGTGTCAGGAGAAAGGGGGAGCAAGAGCGGAGAGGGAGAAAGGGGAGGAGTCTTTTTTTTCTTCTTCCCGTTTCTTTAAAAAAACCAACACACACGTAACACTCAACCAATGTTTGTTCCCGAGTAGAAACATAAATAGGGCGGAATAGGACACTCCCGTTCTTCTCTCTTCCAAAAGCGCACAAAAAGAAAAAGAAAAGGAGAAAGGCAGAGCGTGAGGCCGCGCGCCCCTCGGAGCCCGTCCTCCGCGACACAAAGGGGCTGCCTGGGCGCCGGCTTGTGCAACACGCGCGGGGTGGGGGAGGACAGAGGCGGCGCGAGGGCGGGGACCGTGCGCTCGGAGTCCCCCCGGGCAGTTCAGGAGGGTCCGGCTTGTCGAGTCCGGGGGTGCCGAATCTCTGGGGGAGTCCAGGGTGGCCCCCCACCGCAGCGAGTCCGCGCATGCGCGCCGCGCTCGAGCTCAGTACGCGGGGACCTGGTGCTGGGGCAGCAGCTGGCAGCCGCTGTTGACGTGGCTGAGGACTTTCTGTTTGAGCTGCGCCACCTGCTCGCGCAGCAGGCTGGCGGTGGACGCCAGCTCGGTGTTCTGGCTCTTGAGAGTCTTGACTTTCTCCTCCAGGCGCGAGATGCGCTCCAGCTTGCGCTTGCGGCACTTGGAGGCGGCGATGCGGTTGCGCAGCCTCTTGCGCTCTGCCTTGATGCGCTCCTGCGTGTCCATGTCGATGGGCGACAGCGGAGGGCTGTCCCCGAAACTCGGGACATCCGGCACGGTCTGTGGCTCGTCCTTGAGCGCCGCCAGGCGCGGGGGATGCGGAGGCGGTGGCCCGAGCGCGCCCGGGGGCGGCGGGAAAGCCACGGGCTCCGCGGGAAAGGCCACGGTGGCCGCACCCCCGGGCGGCCCACTGCCCCCGGCGAAGCTGCTCAGGTTGGCGTAGACCGGGGTGTCGGGGCCCCCGGGGGTGGCTGCCAAATCCCCCGGCGCAGGGGGCGCGGTGGCCGCCGAGGTAGCCGCGGTGGGCGCGCCCAGCTGGTTCTGCTTGTGCAAATCCTCCAGAGCCTTGACGAAGCCCTCCGCGAACTCCTGCTCCTCGCTGGCCGCCACCTTCGGGTAGAGGAACTGCGTGCTGGTCGGGGTGGTGGTGACCAGTCCGTTGGACTGGATGATCAGCCTCTCCAACTCCGGGGACGCCAGCTTAAGCAGCCCGAGGTCCGGGGACGCCAGCAGCCCGTCAGGGGCGCCGTCGGGGCGCAGCGCGGCTGCTGCGGAGGCCGAGGCAGCCTTGAGGCCCGCCGCGCCCTGCTCCGCCAGGCTTAGCGTCAGCGCGTCCTTCTTGAGCATGCTGCCCGTCGGGGACACCCCGGGGAATGTGCGGCCCGGGGCCGCCAGGCCACCGCCAGCACCTGGGCCGCTCGACGCTCCAGCCGCCAGGCCGCTCAGCACTTCCTCG